AAAAAATATCTTTCAAAGAATTGGTTGGACAGACTAGAGCTGCAGTCTGTGTACCTACAAGTTACTCCATCTACCTAATTTCTGTGGCTATAAATTACTTCACCTATTGCTGAGCATGCGAAGACTATCAGAGACCCCTGGTGAAGTAAAAAGACCTTCCCAAAAAGAGCTATGTAGAAAAATATTTATCTCGTTAGTTCTAATGTAGTTTCTAGTGCAGAAACAACATTCCATTCCCATAGTTTCTGCTCAACATCACTTGTTCTCATGCACTTGCATCCAAACTTAATGCGAGCAAAAACGTAAGCCTCAATCCAGTTTGCTATTTAGTATGAGACTTCCATATGTCTGATTCAGGCTGCTTCCAGTCTTCTCCCATTAGTTCTTTCAGATTCAACTCTTGGAAAAATTCCAGGCGATGACTATAGACAAAGGAGAAACAAAAAACATTAAGTTCCAAAGTACCATCTTAGAACATTCTCAGTAGGCTTAACTGATGTTTTTTCCCATCCTTTCTGGGAATGTAAACACTGTTTCTGAAAATCTTGTACTGGAAAGAAGGCAAAATCCTGAGCTACAAACAGGAACAATGGTACAAAGTTAAAAGGCAGAGTTTAGAGGTGAGCTCTTACGTTGACCAAAAATGCAGTCAGAGCAAACACAAAATGACTACCTGCTCTACAACGTATCTGCACTGCAGCCAAATATCGTTTACAACTTTTGACCAATTGGAAAGTCATTGCACAAGGAGAACCTCTCCTTACAGAAAACTGGGAGACAGAACAGGATAATGAAGCTAATAAGTATTCTTCTCCTGTAAGGCCGCATCTCACTTTCAAACGTTACAAACTGGTTCTTGCTAGGAATTCTCCTTTGCATTGCCAAGCAGAATCAACTGAGGCTCATTTCTTAGTAATACTTAAACAGCTGCCAAACAGTAAACAGAACAGCTGGTAGCATCATTTAAGTAAATGAAATTCTCTAAATAAGTAGTGTCCATTTTACATGTGAAGGCCAGCTAAGAGCAATTAAAGCAGCATGGAGCGACCTCTTCCCATAAATACGTTTACTGTTCATCTCTGAACAAGTCAGGATTTCTATGAAGACATACTCTTAGAAAACAAAAAACAACCCTTCTTGAAAATTATTACAGGCATTCTGCAGTTTACTCATCTATCTCTATGTTGAGTACCAAGTTTTCATGAGAACTGCAGCACTCTTGTACAGCTAGTTCATTTGCACTAACTGCCCACACACAAGTAACAGCCTTATTAACTTGTTGCAGACTCTGAAAATAAACAAGTCCACTCACAGCACAATGTAAACATGCTCTAGTTTTGCTGTTCATAGTGGGCATCCTTTCATTACACTTCCAATTCCATCTGTCTTCTCTAGTTCTTCCATAACTCAGAGCCATCTCTAAGGCAAAAGAGACCCGCTGGATATTATTACTCTGGTACAATTAACATTAAATAGCACTTCAAGAGGTGCTGTAGGCAAGGAGAAAAGAGCAGACCATCTCTGATTTTTTTTTTTTAGATGAGAAGGTGATAACATGCAAATTACATTGAATGCATCATTTGCTGTGCAGCTAGGGGATAACACAGAAATCAAGCTCTAATTACTGCTATCTGGAAGTTCTTTACACGAAGTACAGTGGATCTGAGGCTGAACAGTATAGTTAAAATATCAGTGGCACCTGGATTGGTGTCTTCTACAAGTACTCCAAGAAGAGTGCAAATATATTACAGAAGAACTGATTTTATGCTTACAAGTCTGGTTTCTGGCCTTCCTGAAGTTTGTGTCGAGGCACAGGATAAAGTGCTTCATATTTTCTGTGATCTCCTGAGCCGTGGATTGCAAAGGCATTGAACTTGTTAATGCCTGGTGGAAAATAATTCCAAGGCAGATGAGCTCTACCCCTCCATTTGGTTTCCGTTCTGGTCACATCGAATTCTAAGGGAAGTTCTTCCTGTTACACGTGAGGGGGAAAAAAAGGCTATTTATCTTTTACTCAACCAACAGGTATCTAAAACCAGTGAGGTTCTGTATGTTATGAATGCCCCTGACCACTTACTTTCCACACTCTTCTTTCGCCAGAAAGCAGCAACAGTAAGTGTTGTCCATGACTGCCAAAAATCAGAGCCACGCTTTTCATACCGTGACGCCAAGTTTAGTGCATTTATCTGCCACAATGTACATCCTCCGTAGTGCAGTCATTCCTGTACCCTGCACTGCATGCACTGCACACCACACCATGCGCACGCTTCACGAGCATTGAAACAAGAAACATAAATTGCACTCACGACTTTTTAAGCAAGCTGTACTTACGGACAAAGTTCAACTTCTAGATACTGCTCACTTCCGTCACTCAAGAAAAATGCTTCTACAACTTACAAAGAGACAAGCTGTCAATATTTTATACTAGTTGTCAGTTCTGCTATATTCCAAGGCCTTCACAATCAATTGTTTTCACAAAGGTTTCTGGCCCGTGCCGTCCCTGACTTTGAATAACTGTGTGCATGCGACTGACACTTTCTAATTCAAGAGCTGTGCTGTAATCCCAACCTCAAGGGCTTTTGTAAAGGCAACAGCACACTTCTATTTATTGACCGCTCACTTTGCTGTCATTTATGTGATGAAAACTAGAGTCTCTCTCTTGATTTATAGCTGAATACAACATGATGTTCATGTTACTTCAGGAGCTTTCTTAACCGTGGTGCTGGTTACAACCACGTTTTTTTGCCAGCAGCCTTTTCCAGAGCGCTCAGGATAAAGCTGTCAAACTAGAACAAGTTTTAGAAAATAACCAGAGAATCTTCAATAAAGCCCAGGTATGGGAATTGCATAGGAACGTCAGTGGCTCCACAGAGCAGATGCTTGCAGCAGAAGTTACACTTACCTTCATAGTCCCACAGTTTTCTGAAGGGTTTCCCTGGCGCTCCAAGTGGCGCTGGAGGATCATTGAAGAAGGGAGCACTCACTTGCATTAGCAGTCCTGCATCATACGACTGAAGTGCAATTGCTACGGGGTCGTGGCTCACAGGTAAACCATCCCACGTGTGCTCAATTCTTACCTCCATCTTCATGTTCTGCACGAGATAATGAAGAAAAGAAGTTCCTGTCAAAGCACACAGATACCATTCCAACACCAACTTCACTGTCTGGCTAAGAAAAAAGTCTCACAGTTAAGTAGGTGAAAAAATAAGCGTCAAGCTCCCAGACATAACCAGAAAGAGTCAACTGATTCTTCTCAGTCCTACTTAGGAACAAAGAAAGACGAACGCCGGAACAAGTCTCTGTTCTAAAGGCATTATTTCACAGAATCGTCGAGGTTGGAAAGGACCTCTGGAGATCATCCAGCCAAGCTGTTTGCTGGCAAAACAGTGAGAAAGATGAGATAAATGGATATAAGAACCCAAGATGGTGATGTGGGAGGCATAACGAAGATTTAAAACAATACAGTAAGCTATCAGTTGACTTCAGACATCCAGTAAAAAGGCAAAGGCAAATATTGGACTGTCAGTTCTGACAAGGTCATATGGAAATAAAGTGAAAACTAAGCTTTTGTGTCGGCATTTTTTTCTCTATGATACGCTGGACCAATTTCAGATATGCTATGAGACATCATGGATTTAATACTAGACTGGACTGCTCATGACCCCATCCAGTCTGGCCTTGAACACCTCCAGAGAGGGGGCATCCACAACCTCTCTGGGCAGCCTGTTCCAGCACCTCACCACTCCCTCTGTAAAGAACTTCCCCCTGACATCCAACCTAAATCTTCCCTCCCTCAACTTCAAACCATTTCCCCTTGTCCTGTTATCCACCCTTTCGAAGAGTTGACTCCCCTCCTGTTTGTAGGTTCCCTTTAGATACTGAAAGGATGCTATGAGGTCACCCTGCAGTTTGCTTTTCTCCAGGCTGAACAAGCCTCTCTGTCCCTGCTGGCCACCCCTCTTCTGATTGGAGCCCAGGATAGCATTTGCTTTCAGAGCTGCAAGAGCACATTGCTGGCTCATGTTAAGCTTTTCATCCATCAGGACCCTCAGGTCCTTCTATGCAGGGCTGCTCTCAAGGACTGCTCCTTCCAGTCTGTATGGATGCCTGGGATTCCTCCAGCTCAGGTGCAAAACTTTGCACTTTGCTGTGTTGAACCTCATTAGATCCACACAGGCCCACCTTTCAAGTCTGCTGAGGTCCCTCTGAATGGCAGCCCTTCCTTCCACTGTGTCAACCACACCACTCAGCTAGGTATCATCAGCAAACTTGCTGAGGGTGCACTCGATTCCGTCATCTATGTCATTGATAAAGATGTTAGAGAACACAACAAGCTCTTTTCATGGTACACGAAAGAAAAAGCTGACTCCCAGCTCACTACAACCTCCCTTTTGGTAGCTATAGAGAGCAATAATGTCTTTCCCGAGCCTCCTCTCCTCCAGACTGTACAATCCCAGCTCCCTCAGCTGCTCCTCATAAGGCCTGTGCTGCAGAGCCCTCACCAGCTTTGTTGCCCTCCTCTGGACACACTCCAGGGCTTCGATGTCTTTCTTGCAGTGAGGGACCTAAAACTGAACCCGGTACTCAAGGTGCAGCCTCACCAGTGCTGAGAACAGAGTTCCAATTAGTTCCCTGCTCCTGCTGGGAACACCGTTTTTGATGCAACCCAGAATGCCAATTGGCCTTCTTGGCCACCTGGACACACTGCTACTTCATGTTCAGCTAACCATCAACCAATAACCCCCAGGTCTGTTTCTTCTAGTGTCTCAGCCACTTTGCCCCAAGCCTGTAGCATCGCATGGGGTTTTTGCAGCCAAAGTGCAGGATCAGGCACTTAGTCTTGTTGAATCTCCTCCCATTGGCTTCACCCCAGCTATCCAGCCTATCCAGATCCCCGGCCTGCTACCTCCAGGCAGATCAGCATCTCCTGCCAACTTGGCACCATCTGCAAACTTACTGGGGGTGCATTCAATGCTCTTATTAGGTCATCAATAAAGATACTGAACAGGCTATGCCCCAGTACTGACCCCTGGATAACACCACTCATAAACAGCGGCCAGCTCGATTTAACTCCATTCACCACCACTCTCTGGGCCTGGCCCTCCAGCCAGCTCCTTACCCGGCAAAGAGTGGCCCCAGAAGTAGCCAGCCTGGCCTCCGCGTCTGAGCTTAAACACATAGGGATCGTCTCCCTTTTCGATCTGCACAAAGAACTTGTTACAAAGACTGAAAAATGTGTGGTAGCCTTACAGTTCGAGTTCCAGCAGTGGTCAAGAAAGCCTGGTTTTGAGCCCCCCCCAGGTGCTAAATTTCATCTCTGTTTTGCACCACTCAGTGAGCCCAAAGTGCCAAAATCACACATCAGCTGCTGTTTCTGAGTCCCAATTCCAGCTTCATTCCGAGTCCCAAATGCAGCATTTGGTCTGTTTTCAGACATCTCCATCAAGCCCCAGAAACACAGCAGTCCGCCTCTGCTTTCCAAACCTGGGAATGCACAGCTCAGTCCCTCCTTGAGAGCCCCACCTCCCCATCAAATGAGCCTGGGTTTGATCCCCAAACCACAGGCCTTCAGCCTCGATTCCTGCAACCTAAAAACCGGTCCAATGAAGTTCATTTCGTGCCCCCTAAAGGCGAACGATCTCATCTCCCCATCGAACCCCAAACAGGGCAGTGAGTCTGGGTTTCAGCCCCCGGTAAAGCAAGAATTCACCCGTGCAGCCGATTTCCACACTGCTCACCCAGCTGCATAGCTATGCTTCTCCTTCCCGGCCCAGGTGCGATGCCGAAGCGCGATGCCCGGCCCCGGGGCGAGAGGCCCCGCAGGGAAGCTCGGGCGAGGAGCCGGGTTCTCCGAGCGCCCGGACCGAGGGGGAAACCGAAAGTAGAAACGGGCGATCGGCGGACAAAACTTTCCGCTCCTCCCTTCCTCGTGGGATCCGCGGCTTCGGGCTCCTCCCGTTCCTCGGCGTTCTCCCGTCTCTCGCGTGGAGCTCGGAGACAGGCAAGCCGGCCGCCAGGCAGGTCGCGAAGAGACACCCGGGGGCAGAGCACGCGAGGGCCGCGAGCGAGAACCCCGTCCCGTCGCTCGGCGGCGCCGCCCTACGGCTGGGAGGAGCGGAGCGGCCCCGCCCAGTGCGGCTCGGCGTCTGCGCAGACGGAGGCGTCATGGCGGAGAAGGCGCAGAAGAGGTGAGGTAGGGCTGGGGCCGCCGCCGCCGCCGCCGCCGCGCGCCCCCTTGCAGCCGCTCCTCCCGCGCGCCCCAACGGCCCTGGCGGTCACGTCCCCGCGCGTCGCAGCGCCGTCCTCTGCCCCCGGGTCTCGGCGGTCCTCCTGTGTGCCCTGGCGGCCCTCTCCGTCCCCGGGCAACTCCCCGTGAGCCACAGCGCTCCCGTGTGCGCCCTGACCGTCTGCCTGGCCCCTCGGTGCGCCCCAGCTGTGCCATGCGCCCCCATACTGGCTTGCTGACGTGCCACAACGGTCCCATGTATCCCTGTAGTCCCTTCATGTCCCCCGCCAGTCTTTTGGAGCGCCACAGCAGTCCCCTCAATCTCCAGCATCCTCCCGTGTCCCCTGGCAGCCCCTCATGTACACCAGTGCCCGTTCCCTCCCCCTAGCCCCTGCACCCCCAAGGCTCTCCTTGCAGACCCCGATCCGTGCCCCGTGTTGTGTCTCCGCCCCGTGTTGTGTCCCCAGCGCCGCTCACCTGCGTGTCCCCTCTGCAGCGTGAAGATCGCACCGGGAGCCGTGGTGTGTGTGGAGAGCGAGATCCGTGGGGATGTCACCATTGGTAAGGGTGGCACCTGGCGGCCCTGGTCACCCACTGGGGTACATGGTGGTGGCTCTGGTGACGTGGGGCGGTTTCCACAGGGCCGAGGACGGTGATACACCCAAAGGCCAGGATCATCGCGGAGGCAGGGCCCATTGTGATCGGGGAAGGCAACCTAATAGAGGAGCAGGCACTTATCATCAACGGGTGTGTGTAGGGCTGCCTTCTTCCTGCCCTGCTGTAAAGGCAGCTGCTGCTGACACCTAAAGTACATTCACCTGTCTTGCAGGTACCCAGAAAACATCACTCCAGAAACTGAGGAGGTGGAGCCCAAGCCCATGATCATCGGCACCAACAATGTCTTTGAAGTTGGGTGCTGTATCCTTGCGCTGCAGGGAAACGTGTGGATGTTGCCCAGGCACGGGCAGCCTGGGGGTGCTTACGGGGTAGATTTTGGTTTGAAAGTGGCATTGGGGCACACCTTTTGAACCAGAAGCAAAAGGTTTTCCTTTGACAATAACCTGTAGATTCACAGGCAATGAAAGTGGGAGATAACAACGTAATTGAATCCAAAGGTGAGCTCAAGTTGTCTTTGTTCTGCTTGGAGTTTTTGCTGCTAGAGCAGCAGTGCGTGGCTTCAAGCAGGGTGGCCCTCACAGAGACTCTCCTTACAGCATTTGTTGGCAGGAATGTGATCCTGACGAGCGGCTGCATCATCGGGGCCTGCTGCAACGTCAACACCTATGAGGTGATCCCTGAGAACACCGTCATCTATGGTGCCGACTGCCTTCGCCGCGTGCAAACTGAGCGGCCACAGGTAGGTTCCATCCCCTTGTCCCCAGGCTCCCCTCGTGGCTGCCCACTGCTGACAGTGTTTCTCTTTCCAGCCTCAGACACTGCAACTAGACTTCCTGATGAAAATCTTGCCCAATTACCATCACCTGAAGAAGACGATGAAGGCTGCGTCCACACCTGTTAAGAGCTGAAAGCCCTCTGCCATCAGTTGCATGCCTGACATCTCTTGTCCTTTGGGCATTGCACAGCCCGGGAAGCAGCTGGGCTCTGCATCCTTCAATTCTCGCATGTGTCTTTTATTTATAGCTTCCACAAGCTTTGGACCTGTCATCTCCCTCACACCAACTCTAACATTCCACATGCTTTATGGGAATAAAGTTGTTCCGCTCTTGCTGCAGGGTGCAGTTGCCATTCTTTCTTCCAAGCTCAGGGCTGGGTGATGGTGGGGGGCTGCAAACTGCTGCCAGGAGCGCTGAGTACCACCTTTAACCTCATGGTGCTGCTGTACCACATCTGTGGGCCAGAAATCATCCCGAATCCCGTGTTGTGGTGACGGATCCCGCAGCAGCCAGCAGAGGGAGGCCGGGCCTCGCCATGTGCTGAGCTGGAGCGAGAGGCTGCTCAGAGGTATCAAGATTGCAGCGGGGTGCGGGCAGGTGAGCCCTGCTGCTGCCTGGGTGCCGGGCGGTCTGCGCGGCCCATCCTATCTGTGTGCAGGGGAAGATGGCACGTTGCAGCTCTTGGTGGGGACGTGGCCCTTGCCGTCCCAATCAGACACCCCTAAGGCTGAGTCCAAACGGGCTGAGAGCACCGTACCAAGGGCTTCCGCCTCCCCAAAGCAGGGCCAGCCACGCTGCGTGGAGAGCGCAGCCTCAGCGTCCCACTCGCTTTCCCACAGCCAGCCGTTGTCACGCGTTCCCGGCCGTCCCCAGCCCTGTCAGACCTCCTGTTCCACGTCCCGTCCCCCCAGCCCTGTGCTCCGCGTCCTACAGCCCGCGTGCCGTATCCCCAACGGCGTGCTCCCAGCCCTATGGCCAGTGTCCCCCACGCTGTTCCCAGCCCCACGTGCTACGTACCCAACCTCGCGTCCTACGTCCCAACCCCAACGTCCGCGTCCCCAGCCGTACGTGCTATATTTCGAACTTCACGTCCCATACCGCAGCCCTTTGTCCTCCATCCCAGCCCCGCGTCCAGCCCCCACCTCCCGTCCCACCCCGTGTCCCCGCGTCCCACCCCCAGCGCCGTGTGGCCGCCCGCCCGGCCCCGCCCCGCCCGGCCCCGCTCCCTCCCGCCCGCCGCAGGGCCGCGCCGGAGGCAGCCGCGGGCGGGTGGCGGAGCGGCGGCACCATGAGCAGCGGCGCCGCCGAGCGGGAGGGCCCCGCCGAGCCGGGCCTGCCCGAGGAGGAGGTAGCGGGCCGGGGGGGGGAAGGCGCCGAAGGTGGGCCGGGTCCCGGGGCGGGAGCGGGGCGGCCCCCACGCGTGTCCGCGGGGTCGCGTGAGCCTGGGCGTGGGGCTCGGGGCGCGGCGGGAAGCGATGCAAGTCGATGGGGGGGCCGGAGCGGCCCGGAGCTGGGCGCGCCTCTGCGGAAGGGGTTTGGGACGCCGCTCGGACACGCGCAGGGTGCGGGCGCGCCGCCCCGTCTCCCGGGAGCGGAGGTGGCGACGACACGGAGCCCCGTTGGGTGTCAGGGCGGCCGCGCTCGCAGCCTCGCAGGGGACGGCCGCCGGGAACCGGGACGGCGGCTCCGTTCGGCTCCTGGCGGGACCGCTCCCGGCGCACCACGAGGTCGTCGCCCGCCGCTGCGCCCTCTCCCTGACTGCCCGGGCGCACGGACGGGTCGCAGGCGGAGGTCGGGACGGGGGCAGCCGAGCGGCTCACCGCTGGTGGAACATTAAAGCGATCCGGGGCTGGGGAAGGTGATCGGATGCCTGGTGAATGAGTCACCGCGCTCCTCCCGCCGGTCCCCTTCCTGCCCGAGTTGACCGGCGGAGCTCGGCGCAGGGGCGACGGAGCGTGACCGCGTCCTTGCGGCAGCCGAGGGGCGACGGCGCTGCCCCGGTGCCCCACGCACCGCCCGCGGCCACTGCTGTTGGGACAACCCCCCCCCCCCCGGGCCGCTCTCGGCCGGAGCGAGGCCTGCCAGGTCCCCCTCGCCGTCCCCTTCCCAGGGCGAGAAGAAAACCTGCGGGGTGGTGACGGCACGGAGGGGACAAAACAGGCGCAAGGCCGTACCCCGGTCTGCCGTGGGCAGCAGCAGGAACAGAGCATGTGGGGTGGGGTGGGCAAGGACACGGGGCTGCCAGGAGTGTGTCCACCGCCCTCACCACGTGACAGCCCCGGGCTCTGACAAACAGTGGCGAGGGGTGAAGGCGAGCCGGGCAGAAAGCCTGAGCGGACCAGGGTGGCGGGTGCTATGGAGGGTGTCAGTCCACTGGCATGGAGCTCCCTCTGGGAGCTGTCCGCAGCCCCTGCAGAGGGGATTCTGCCACTGCCCACCTCGGCCTGCACTCACGGCATCTGCGAGGCCTTGGGAAGGCTCCAGAGCCACAGCCTCAGTCAGGAAGCAGCCCCGCTCCATGGCAGAGTAGGGCAGCCTTTCCCCACGGCTCCCTGCCGGGGAGGCTGCATCCCAATTCCTTCCCCAGCCTCTGCCTGTCCTCTCTTTTTGGGCAGGGGGGAAAGCCAAAATGGGATTTCCCTCCCCTCCAAGATCCCGCTGTAATCTGCGCTTCTCTCCCTGCTCACTGAGCATCGCAGCACTGGCCCGACTTGGCCGACCTGCATTTGAACTTTCAGAGAAAACAAGTCATTACCAAGGAGAAGCTGCATCTCTGTGAGGCCTAATTTCAGAGGGTTTTTTTCAGGGCCTTTATCTCTCCTATCTGCTGTGCAGCCACGGGGCTAAATTACCCGGAAAGTCAGGCTCGGGCGGGTTTAGCTTTCAGGAACGCAGCTCACAGCGGGCACTTCCTTGAGGCCGTGAGCACAGAGCTGTGTGCAGGAGCGTGGCCTGGAGGCCCTGGGCAGCCTCCTGGAGGCCCGTGACCAGCTGACGCTCTGCCCCTTATGCAGGTGAGAACCCTGTTTGTCAGCGGCCTGCCCCTGGACATCAAGCCCCGGGAGCTCTACCTGCTCTTCAGGCCCTTCAAGGTACTGCACCCACTACGGGGCTCTGAGGGCCTCCGCAGCCACACGAGACCAATGGTGCTTCTCTCTTCTCCCGCAGGGCTACGAGGGGTCGCTTATCAAGCTCACCTCCAAGCAGGTAGGGGCTGCACCGTGCTCCCACCTGCTGGGTCTGCCCTCAGCAACTGGGGATGTGCTGGGAACATGGCCCTGACTGCCCCTCACCTCCTCTTTCCACAGCCCGTGGGGTTCGTGAGCTTTGACAGCCGCTCAGAGGCTGAGGCCGCCAAGAATGCACTGAACGTGAGTGCTGGGACCCCCTGTGGGACACCAAGAGATGGATCCCAGTATCTATTACCCTGTGGAGACCTCCCAGGGAAGCCTGGTCCCTCCCCATACTCATGTTGAGGCAAAATGCAAAATCCCTGGCTGGGAGCATGGCCGCACGGGATACCGACTACCAAATATGGTGCTGAGCTCGAGGATGTCAGAGGAATGTGAGCCGCGGGGCCATGCTCGCTGCCAAGCGCATGAGGTCACGGCCACCCCAGCAGCCCATGGGGATATTGGGACAAAATCTGAGCCTTTTAGTCCAAATGGCTTTTTTGAATGTAGGGACAGCCCTGATGCCAGCAGCATCCCACCACGAGATTCAGGCTAACTGACCTCTGCTGCCCTGTTCCTTCCCACAGGGCATCCGCTTTGACCCTGAGATCCCCCAGACGCTGCGGCTGGAGTTTGCCAAGGCCAACACCAAGATGGCCAAGAGCAAGCTGGTGGGCACTCCCAACCCCAGCGCGCCCCTCCCCAACACCGTACCTCAGTTCATCGCCAGGGAGCCCTGTGAGTGCTTGCATCTTGACCCTGGTCCTGCCAGTACGTGGCCCTGGCGATGCCCCCTTCTTACTCGAACAGCTGGGGCAGTGATACCTTAGGAGCTGGGTGCAGGGGAGCTTTTGGAGAGGCACAGCAGCTGTGGTTGGGTTTGGAATCCAGCTCCTTGTGCTTTGGGATGATGCATGGGCAGGTGACGGTGGCCTGGGCAGAAGTGCCATTTGGGCAGAGCTTATACCTGCTGCTCACCTCCCCCTTGCTTTTAGGATTAATTCTCCTCCTTTTCCTGCAGATGAGCTCACAGTGCCTGCACTTTACCCCGGCAGCCCTGAAGTGTGGGGGCCGTACCCTCTGTACCCAGCGGAGCTGGCGCCTGCTCTACCTCCTCCTGCGTTCACATACCCTGCTTCGCTGCATGCCCAGGTAATGCCGCTGGCCCACAGTACTGCAGCCTTTGGCACAGGCAGAGCTAGAGGGAGGGAGAGGAGGTGAGCTCTGGGGCCAGCTGCCCAGAGGAAGAGCAACGGTAAATATTATTGCAGCCTCATACTTCCCCTGTCAAGGCAGCGCTGACAGGCAGCACCTGTGCTCCTGGAGGAATCAACACCGCAGCCCCAGGGTACAGCCACACTCCCATTGGTTGCAGTTTTTCTTCCTGCTCACCCCCTGCCCCCATGTCTTGCAGATGCGCTGGCTCCCTCCCTCCGAGGCTGGGTCTCAGGGCTGGAAATCCCGTCAGTTCTGCTGAATGCTGTGTAAGTGCCCCCTGAGCCGCTCGGTGTCCCCAGGCTATCCTCTCTGGAGCGCACCTGCGGTGCCAGCCAAAACTTGGGCAGGAAAGGGGACATGCCAGCCCCATCCCTGAGCCCTGCTGTGCCACCCACAGGTCTCGGGTGTGTGATGGCGGCCGACGGTCAGTCTTGTGGGTATGAACAGAGCCCCCCGGCGGCTGCTGGGCACGCACGCTCTCCACAGAACCACAGTGTGCTGGTAAGGAGCACAATGCTCGGGCACAGGCTGTCCCCATGCTTATCATACACAGCGGGGGTGGGAGTTCCAACTGCCCTGTCACCCCACCCCCTCTCTGCCACACAGCTTCCTGCCCTACAGCAACACTGGTCACACTCCTCTTAAACACAGAATAACTTAATTCTGCCCTCATGAGTGGCCATGTCCCAGTGCCATGCCCACCCCATGCCCATGAGATGTGCCTGCACAGGGACAGGCTGGCTGCTACTCCCCCAGGCAGCATCACCTAACCCAGCTGCATTTGTAACTTGTGCCCCTCTTGTTGCAGGCTAGGAAGAAACCTCACACAAGTCTGGATTCCTCCAAGACTTTCCCACAGCCTCTATCACACATCTGTTCTCCTAGAAGAAAGTGAGAAGCATACCCAATATATTTCCCTCTTTTACACTGTATATTTGTAAGAAAGAGCGTGTTACTGATGAAAGCATGGTTTGACAGGCACTGCTGTAGCGTTTGAAAAGTATTTTCAAACACCCCTAGGAAAGCAGACTGCAAAAAAAAAAAAAAAAAGCAAAGAGCAAGTATTTTTGTACCAAACTTCTGAACAGGACAATCTCACACTGGGCTGGATGACAGTTTTTGTGCTCAACCTCCAGCAGCACGCCCTTAGCAGCCTGCCCCCCCCATCCACGGGCCACACACCAAAGGCCACAACACATGCTGCCTCAGCACAGTCTGTGGTGTTCACAGTGCTCCGGTGACAGCATTGCCACTGCACCCCAACGCTCTGCCAGCATTGGGGTTCCCTTCCTGTCTGCAGCACGTGGCGCCAGCCATGACAGGCAGATTTCTTACCTTGGCACGATGCTAACGGCTTGCTGCACAGCTCCGGCAAGGTGTGATGCTCGCTTCAGGGATGGGCAGAGACAGTCCACACACGTAGCAAGGTGAGAATTCGCCTTCTCATTCCATGGCTTCTCCAAGATGTTAAGGGCAATGCAGACTGATGTGCAAGGAGCTGGACTTTCTGATCCCCGCCAACTCCGGGCCGTGGGACTGGGATACGCACCCATGGCTGCAGGGCTCTACTGCAGCTTCAGCACCTGGTGATGCCAGTCTGGCTGCAGAGCATGTCTATGTGGAGCAGAGCCCAAGGGAGGCTGCTGGTAGCACAGGGTGGGATGGATCCAGCACAGGGACTGCGTGCTGGCATCCTCTTTGCACCAGGAGAAACTGGCGTGAGGAAGAGTAAAGCAAAGCAAAAAAAAAAAAAAAAAAATCAACCCATTTGTTTCTTCACAAAGGAGGTGCCAACCCCATCTCCATTAACTGCCTGAGCAGAACTCCCAGCCTCTCTCCCTCCTCCATTTTCTGCTTTGGCCACAAGCAGCAGGGAACAAGGCTGCCAGAGCTGTCCAGGTGAGGGCAAGAAGGGGGTGCCACAGAGCCACCAGCATGCAGCAGGTTGGGCAGCGGTGCCTCGAGCAAGGTAGCTCTGCAGGGACAGCACAGCGCTCCCAGCAATGGACTATTGTAGCAAACCGTTTCCTGTGTTTTGTTCTGGTTTTGTGGAGAGGAAAGGAGCTTCCATGTTGTCTTCTCCGCTTTTGGAAATATGTTTAAAGGTACTTTTCTATTGTAATTTTTTAAAAATAAAGCCAGTGATTATTGTAAGTTAAGCATGGAGTGTGGCGTACTGTGATTCTAATTGGGGACAGGGCCAAGAATCCCAGCAAACACTCGAGGGAAAGGCAGCCCCCCAGCCGGCCAAGTACTGCAGCAGGGTCTGCAGGGTAGATGGCGGCCGCCTGGCTCCCTTCAGCCTCTAGGAGCGCTCCAGCAGGCAGGAAGAGGGAGCAGCAAGCTGTAAGAAACACTCCAAGTTTATAAAGATGTTATCGGTTTGTTTCTAAACTCCCCATCTTGGCACTGAGTGCGGGAGCTAAGCTGCGATTTTCCATGAGCTCAGCTGCAGATGAGGCAAATGTAACCTAGAGACGATGGGCCAGATTATTATTATTTAACACGCTGAGAATTTTCAAAAAGCATCTCATCAGACCAAGCTCTGAGTTCTTCCTCCATCAAATCCCACCCTGATAACTGTGGGTGGCCCCCCAGGGAGTCCCACCAGCAGTCAGGCTCCTGCAGCATGGTGCCAGCAGCAAGCTCAGTCTCACAAGCACATCTGAAGGATGCGAGCACATGCGGCTTGCTGGTTGGGGCGGGCGAGAGGCACGGTGTCACTCAGCCATGCACATCTGGCAGAGATGAGCCACGGGTTAAGGCCTCAGTGCTGGATGCTAATCCACCCACGGCCACTGCAGGTCACAGCTTTCGCTCTGAGCAGCACATCTTGCCTGGCTCAGAGCAATGGGAGCCAGCCCACACTGTACCCTTTCAGCACAAGGCGCAGCATGCTGGGGAGCAGCACAGCAGTGAGCAGCCTCGGGCTGAGGGAGCTCATGGCTTTTGCCTGGTTACACACAAGAGCTGCCATGCAAAAAGAAGGTGAAAACATTTAACATCCTGAGCCCCTTCTTTTGTTTCCTCTATGCTAAAATGTTTTTGGTGCTGTGCTGGCTGGCCTTCCACTCGCTGATGAGGGCTGGGAGCAATGGCTGCCTGCCCAGGCCCGGCATCCCCTCTGCCTGCGCTGACCTTTCACCACACAGGCTGGGGCTGCACTCCCCGTGGGACAGCTGGACGCCTACAGGAAGGCCCCGCCGACAGCATTGCAAAACGGTGCTGGGGAGCCCCAGGCCAATGCTGCCACACAGTGCCATGGACAATCCCATGGGTACACACAGGCACAACTAGAAAAAACGCGACGGAAGAGGCACTCTCAATGTTCCCACTCTCCCAAGGCCTTCCCTCTCCAGTCCCCAATGGTCAAGGCTGAGCCAGGTACAGGGATGAGAGCAGCCACTTCCTGTGCCCTCGCTACCCAGGGCAAAGGGAGGGGGAAAGCCCTGCTGCTGGCTCCCCAGACCAGACAGACAGCACTTAGCACTGGGGAGGGAGGGCAAAGGGCAGACAGGGTTGCCCCGAGGCCAAGTGGCAGTGCTCCCACTGTGCTCTGCTGGAGTCAGGGGAAGGAGAAACAGGGCCATGAGAGGAAAGAGGGGATGGCACCAGGGTTTAGGCAGGCAGCATGGGGCCAAGTGAGGCTGCACAGCTGCTGGTGAGGCAGGCTGGGAGGGAAACTACAAGGGAGGCATGGCAGGCCCAAAAGATCTGGAGGCTGGACTGCAGGACTTGAGCTCACTGCCACCCATAGGCCAGAGACCAACGTGGTGGAAGGGTTTAAAGCTGAGAAGGACTATTAGCAGCTTGCTGAAATGCTGCCTCTACAATATGGGTAAGTCAACTATTAGCAGAGTCTGGACTTCATCTCCCCAGCCTCCATAATTAATAACTAGCTCAGGAGGGAATGAAGAACACAACATAACTAGGGGAGATGGGAAGAAGTCGCACAAGTACTTCAAGGCCTTGGATGTAAGCACAGAAGGGCAGGCACAGTCAAAAAATTAACAAAACCTCCTGCCCTCACCATCGTTTCCCCTGCTCTGCACAACCCTCAGTCCACAAGGCTGACGCAGCCTATAGCATGTGGGTCCCAAATGAAGCTCTTAAGGTCATGGCTGTCTGACTGAGACCTGCTGCATGTGCTGGCACTCCAAAGCAGTGGAGACAAGGCCAGCAAGCAGCAACAAGACCTGCTTCTACTGCAAAACTGGGTGGCACAAAGGGAATCAAAAGCGGGGTCTCGGGCCTGGCCTACCAAGGGCTGAGCTCTCCTCTCCCCAACAGCCATCAGATCCTCATCTGGTGGCGGGTACGCCATCAGCTCTATCAGACACCCTTTCCCAGAAAAGTAGCTGCCAGCAGTCCCTGAGGCGGTAACACACTAAGGAATTTCGGCCTGGTACATAAGCAGCGAGCAGAAAGCAAGCAACAAAGCTGGAAATAATGAGATGTCAGTACCAAGGCTGCTTCTAATTCTCTGCAGCTTGCAGCCCCTCCTCACCCACAGGCAGCGGGGCCCGGCCATCCCCAGTGGCCCAGCAATGCCTGCCCATGCTCATCAAAGTGACAGCGCAGGCCAGCCGCATCCACGTGTGGGGGCCTTACGCTGCGCAGCAGGGCTTCCTGCCTCTCCCTGCCCTGCTCTCTAAAAGCCTGGAATGATCATGATGAATTATAGATTAGCTCTCGTACAAACTGTCTTATGTCAATTTTCTCATTCAACCATGCAAAATCCTGCTGTTTTCCACCCCCTTCCAGAATGATCTTTGTACGGGAGGAGGAATAGCTCCTCACCAGAGCAACTTCTAGGAGACAAACCAAGAGACCTCCATGCTCAGAGCTGCGACTCCCTGTGGCTATTTCACCTGCACTGGCTTCAAGATACAGGGCTTTTGTTCTGGGGGTGGAAAGGAGCAGGCACATACCCAGCAGTGTCTGGCCTGGATGCTCACTTGTGTGCAGCAACGGGCTCAGCTCACGCCTCTCCTGATCCACTTGCAGCCTTCTTAGAGCCACAGGCTAAAGATTCAATGAGGCAAGCAAAAGGATGTCATGGGCAGCACTGACATACCTGAGAGTTCCTGACACTGAGAGAAAGCTGTCTCTTCCCCAGGGCCCTGTCCGTATGTCCACCAGCATCACGGAAGGGGAGCTGAACACCGCTCTGCGCCTGGCGAATCCAGACAAGGAGATGCAGCAGCTGGGCCAGCACCCTGCATGGCGAAAATAGATGGGAACACTGTGGAGTAAGATAAAATAGCCTTAAGGTTTTAACAGCTATGACCTCTTACTTTAAACTTCACCAAAAAAACTGTTCGGACATAATGCTGTGAGGCAAACGAGTGGACAGGAGTGTTACTAATGCTTTCAGCAAACAGACTCACGTTGGCACTGAGACATTTTCAAGATACACCATTTCATTTTAAAGAGGTATTGGGAAAAACAAAAACAAACAAAAAAACCCCCCTAAGACATAGGACTGACAGCTGGGAGCACCTCTGATACAGAAATAGAACTCAGCTCCTCAAATTCTCACAAGAGAGAGGAGCTCTTGCTCATTTCCTGGATTTGTGTTTTCTTCATGACTGTTTATCTGTGCTACTTCTCAGGGGCTAGCATAGGCATCCTGTCAGCTCTTTTCAAGCTTTGTGACTCTACCCTCGCAAGTTTCAAAGCCTATTTTGCCCTCCCTGTTAGTTCCGCAAAAAAGAGAAAGCAACTGGTCTAGTCTTCCTACCTGGACATCAATTGGACCATTCTATTCCTTTGAACACTGGAGCGTGACAATGCCACCACAGCACACTGAGCTAATCTTCCTTTCCTGCTCTCTTATTTCTTGACTTAATGTAATTTTCATCTTTGAAAGTAGCCAGAGACATCTTTAGTCTCCCTCTTAATCACTTCAGTGGAGAACCTGCATAGGTAACTGCATCACAGCCTGCCTTGCAAGCTTCAGCCCACAGCACAGAGTCAGGCTGTGCAAGATGACTGGAGAAGGTACTCCATTAACATTAAGGTGTGAAAAGCAACGCATAGCTCACCAAGAGCTCTGCTTTTGTCCAAGCAGCACCACCAGAAAAATCATGGCTCAAAAATGCAGCACACAGAAGGGAGTCTTTGTCTTTGAATGAAGATGACAGAAGAGAACAGTTTTGCAGGTGTGCCACGGGTGCTTTAAAGCAGAACTAGAACCGAAAAATAAAAAGCTCCAAGATGAATCACTTGTGCTAGCCTGGAAAAGGGAAAGAACAAGTCTCAAAACCAGTGTGCTGCTTGCTTTTATATATATATATACACATAAATAGAAAAGGAACCTCCTACTGGTGTTGAGCATCTCTTTACACAGGATTGACACGTACCATGTTCAAAGTGCCTGCTTCATAAAAGAGCACTCTCTAAAAAGCCAGTGTACTATACAGAAGGATAAATGCTACACTTACAGAAGTTAACTTCTCCTGCTTTCCCAAGCAGATGTAATCTGTTCAGCTCTCCACCAACAAAGCCTCTGTTCATCTGTTGGTGTGCCCAGATCCAGCAGCCTCTGCTCCAATCCTGATACATCAGGCAAGACAGCAGCTCATGCGCAGGCAGCAGCAAACTGTTGGCAGGTATCATACTCACCTGCTTTATCTTTGATCCTAACCTCAGAAGAGCTGAGGAACAGCCCCTCTGCTGCAGTACTGTGAAAACAATATCAGCATTGACTGACTTTGGTTCAGTATGTAAAAACAAGTTATCAAGAGAACATAATTTGGCTACGTTCCATGTTAGGCAGTCTGTACTGCAACTGACATCAGGCATCTACAGCAAGCTTTCTTTTAAGGTGGTTTTCTCCCTCCCCCGAACAAGAATGATAAAAGATGACAATGTTAGCCCAGAACAGTAATTCATTGAGAAGATTAAAACACAACAGAGACTCCTTTACCTCTTTGAAAAAGAAAACATTAAGTATGAACTCACACATTCTTTAAGGAAGAAACACTGGAAACCAGCACTGTAAGTTTATTACTTAAAAAAAAAGAAAAGAAAAAAGTTGTAGTATTACACTGTCAATTTATTTCCCCTATCCATGAGTAGAATTGTGCAACACTGGTGCATCCACTACAGTGAGGAGAAATTGCCTGTGTAACAGAGGTGCATCCGCTACAGTGAG